GAAAACGACCACCTGGCCACAGCTAACGATCCCCAGAACTACACTCACGATTCCCCCAAATGGAGGGGGGTGAGTGCACCGCTCCCAGAGGCACTCACGGAACGGAGTTAACAGCCCAAGCGTCCCAGACCGGAGCGGGGAAAACGACCACCTGGCCACAGCTAACGATCCCCCCAGAGAGGGAGGATCCCAAAACTCACAGAACAGAGATAACGATTTGAGCGTCCCACGCAAAAGTAGGGGGGGGGAAGGCCTTGGAGAGCGATGTGGAGCCAGGAGAGAGCACCAAAACCGCAGGCGGAGGCAAAAGAGAGAGCACTCTTCCGGGTGTTCTTACCTATATACTGGGCATGATGTGCATGTTATGGAATAAATCATTTTCTATTCTGAGTTTCAGTCTTAACATAAGAGCAAACCAGGCTAGCAGCTGGACTGTGTCTCTTTGCTTGTCTGCTGACCTTGGCAGCAGGACAAAACATTATTCTCTTATCAGCTCCTCTGAGCATAAATCCAAAACACAGCCTCTTGCTAGCTATGAAGAAGAAGGAAAAAAAACTAGCAGAGTTAACTTTAAGCAGTCTGTGCTTAAACCACGACACTATAGATGCTAGAAGATTAATCTGTCTCACTGTTAGCTGCATAACTTTTAGATTTTAATTTCCGCTTAGAAACAGCTTTTACGCTGCAAGTAACAGTAGTACAAACCAAAAATATCACACCTTCTGGGAGTTACAGGAGGGAAAACCACCGCAGTTAGGGTGGAAGAGCATCCAGTGCCGATGTTGCTATTCTGCATCTACTGGTAGACGGTGTTCTTGGTCTTTGTGTAATATATCTACTGAAATCAAGCATCAGTCTGACAAAATGTAGGAATGTAGTTGTACAAAGATTACTGTGTTCTGCTAAAATAGTGTTTGAATGAGGCCTACATTACCAGAGTAATGACTCCCTGAGTTGTTGAGAAAAAGAAATGGCATTTACCACTGATGGTTTGTAATTGTATTGTACTGCTCGATAAGAATTCTGTAGAATTGAAGAGGCTAAATTTGAGGTGGCCTTTGATTCCTTCTATAAACGTGTTTTGGTTTTCTTTTTTTCCTTAAAGGTTGATTTATGCTCAGACTAAGATTTGTATATCTTTTTGTTCAAAGGGGAGATGTTTTGGGTGGACATGATGGAGAGCTTGCAAAGTTAGGCTGGAAAAACTTTGCCCTGTTTTGAGAACAGAGCTATTTCTCTTGTACACAGATAACTATAAAAATGTTATCTAAGTGCCAGCCCTGAGCTGCTTTGAAAATGGCAAGTGTTAAATGAGTAAGGGGAGAACATCTGTGCATTGGCTTAAACAGTGCGTTTGGCAGCAGCTGTGGTAGAGTACTAGTAGTGCTGGAGAATAGGCAAAGATTTTTTGACTAATAGCAGTATGGCATGGTACGTAAAACTAGTATGTACGCTCTCATCAGAAATGTTATTTCAGAGCATGATTACATGTAGTTATGTGTATGTTAGTTAATGTTTTGATTCAGGTTCTTAGTGTGTCTTAGAATGAGTCATTTCATTGTCATACCCAGGTGCATGGTTCAACTTGATGCCCGCCTTGCAGTCTACTTGCTAACTTCACCTTGTTACGGCTCCCTTACAAAGATGTATTTATTCTTAGTGTTTTTACAGTTTGTAAATTGGTTAAAATGTGTGTAAAAATTGTTTGTAAATGCAAAGTAGTAATTAGTATTGAATAGAAGAAAGATTCTTGAACATAGAGAGCTGTAGTTTCATACTATTCTTTTCTTTGTGTTAGAAACTGGACCAGGATCTTAATGAAGTGAAGGCTCGTGTTGAAGAACTGGACAGAAAGTACTATGAAGTGAAAAATAAAAAGGATGAACTACAGAGCGAAAGAAAGTTAGTAATTAATTGAAATATGTCTGAATCTCACTTAATGTAAAGGACCCCAACTGTGTAGTTGTTAACATGGCACGGAGATATGTTTTTAAATATAGCCGTGTATGAACTCCTGCACTTCACCTTCCCATTAGATTAGCAGTCTTTGAGAATAATTACAATTAAAAAATCCTTAGACTTCATTCACTCTTAAGATATTTTCATTATTTTTTTTCTGTAGTTATCTATGGAGAGAAGAAAATGCAGAACAACAAGCTCTCGCTGCAAAGCGGGAGGATTTAGAAAAGAAACAGCAGCTTCTCAGAGCAGCAACAGGAAAGGTGAGGTACCTTGTATTTGAGAATTGCCTGTGGAAGCTTTTCTTATTCTTAAAGGACAAGTCATAGTAATATCTGAAAGATACGACCATTGTTTCTTTTGGACATGGTGTTACTGTCATAATTAAGACATTATATTTGCAAGCTGAATTTTTCAAATATTTATAGCTCTAGAACTTCTTGGAAATTAGTTTTGTAAGCTCGGTAATTGGTGGGGGGGTAAGGAGACAAGGTAGAAATGGAACACCTCTGAAATTTCTTCTGATACCTCTTTGCTGTTAAAAAAAAAAAAAAGACCCTGAAAAGTGGCAGACTCAGATATTTAGGTATCTTCTGTTAGAGTTCTAGGTTAGTTAGTAGGAAGTTGGTGAAAAAGAAAGTTACAACTTTAACAAAGTTAAAGGTAAAGTGGATATTACTTCTGCATCTTTTTAATTGCAGTTCAATAATGACTTATATTTTAACAGGCCATTTTGAATGGTATAGACAGCATAAACAAAGTTTTGGAGCACTTCCGTCGAAAAGGCATAAATCAGCATGTTCTAAATGGCTATCATGGCATTGTGATGAATAACTTTGAATGCGAACCAGCTTTCTACACTTGTGTTGAAGTTACTGCAGGGAACAGGTAATTACGTACTCTTCAGTGTTACCCAAGTTAAAGCAGCTGCAGTATTAAAATTCAGTTGTTGGTGCCAGTTGCCACTGAAAGCTTTATTATTTTAAGCTTGAGCTCTCATTCTTTTTTTGTCGAAGTACCTCCTATATAGCATGAGCAAACTGCTACTCCTTCAAGAAGGAGCTAATTTAAAAATTCATCCTAGGTGCTCTTGATCCTTGTCTAAAAAAAACCCTAAAACAAAGACCCCCTCAAAAAGGTCCCAGACCCACGCTCGTGACATTTGCTAGAAGGATTGATGGTTATGCTGAGCTATATTGAATAAAGTGGATGTCATCATCTTGTGTGGAGAATTCTACAGTAAGCAATGCTGATGTTTCAACAATAACAATAAGCATTATTTCACTTACACTAGAAAATATCATGGATGAGGATGGTCTCTAAACTGTCAAAACCTGCTATTTAAAAGCTGTCTGAAAAAATGTTGAGTGTTAATGAGTCCATGTAATTAGTGTTCTAGAACACACATTACTTCTAGAAGTAAGTGCCCGTTAGGGTGATCCACCACTTCCTGCAGCATCTGACACTTCAAATAAATTTAAAGTGTCTTTTTGTGTGGTTAGTCCCCTGTTCCAATTCACAAGTAGTCATATAAATTCTTGTTCCAATCAAATGCAGATAGTGACCTAAGGGCAGGAAAGAGGACAGAGGTGACAGGATCTTGAAATTTATCACGTAGAAATGTCGGTGCTACCACAATTATGAAATGGAGTCCCTCATCTGAAACGTCTGTGTAAACAATGGTGTCACTTCAGAGTACTTCACAGTTCTCTCTGAGTCCTTGTACCGCATAGTTTGAAAAAATCAGAAACAAGCAAAAGAAAGATCCCTTATTTCAATGTGTGATGCTAGTCCCGATCATGCACAGGGCGGTAGATGTGGTTTCTGCTTCTGTTGGTTGTGTACAGAGGCGTAAGATGCAAACTCTGTAAATCTATGCAGAGAGGCCTAAATGTTGTGTCTTGAAATGGTATGGAGGACAGAGGTTTGCAGCTGAACCAAAAAAGGCAGTTATGCGACACTGTGGGCATATTGAGCTGCTCTTGTGACTGGAGGGTGGAATGTAAAATTCTTGGCTGATTTGATTTTAATGAAAGTGAATAGAGTATATCCACTTGCTTATTCTAAGGCATTGAAACTTGAAGAGAAAATGCAGTGCACCTTTATATTGATATGTACCTGTATGCTTGCTGTTCATATACAAATATGTTAGTGCTTTTGGCACAGTAAAGTTTTGCTTGCTTGTTGGGCTTCTTAATTAGGTTGTTTTATCACATTGTGGATTCTGATGAGGTCAGTACAAAGATCCTAATGGAATTTAACAAAATGAACCTTCCTGGAGAAGTTACTTTCCTCCCTCTGAACAAGCTGGATGTTAGAGATACTGCTTATCCTGAGACTAATGTGAGTTAGTGTTCCTTTTGAACCTTCCTCTACTTCTTAATTACAAAGCCCCATGTTTTGAATTGTGTGTGTATATTGCTTATTGCCCACCACTTGCTTTGCTTTTGTATGGCTGCAATTAAATACTACCTCTAATGTATACTTCTCAACATAAAAAACTCTGTTACAGGAAAATACTTTCCTACAAGGTATTTTCTCTTTAAAATTTAACTTAATCTTCCAAGTAAAGAGGTGATACTAAGAAGCGGAATTTTTTTGTAACGTGATAATCGATAATTGCCTGCATTACTGAATTGTAATTTCTTTAAGCTGAAATGCTGCCCTGGACAAAAGCTGAAGAGGAGGATAGTGTCATATTGCAGCTGTGGACAATTTCTCAAAAGTTATTGGAAATTAGTTGTGTTTTTATATTTAAAAATGCATAAATAAACCTTTTGTGACAACCATTTAAAAAGTAGTTCTGAAATACATTTTGAGAAAGTATCTGCTCTTATTTGAAATTTTAGTAGTGAATTAACTGTGTAAGTGGTAGCTGTTTCCTACAATAATGAAGGTAGACTAAGCTCTTTAGATGCTTTTCTTTTTTCCTCAGATAAACAGGAAAAAATAATAGGAAACAAGCAGACTTCTAGTGTGCTTATTTTGGAAGGGCTTTGTTAGTAAAACTCTGTTAATGTTTGTGTCCTGCTGTCTACAAAAAGGAATCATATTTTGGAGGGAAAAAATATTAAAAAAATTAATAAAAAAAAAAAATTACCAATTCATTATACTTACCCAACTTGTTTCAGTAGCAATTTAATACTCAGATGAGATTCCTGGCAGACTCTTAGTTGACTTAAGGCTCGAGCCTACCTGTTAAAAGCTAAAATTCAAAAATCTTACACTTGATTTCTGTATGGAGTTCATGTGTTTGTCTTGGGAATGTTCGATCAGTGTGTCATCCTTGTACCAACTGACAGCTGTTTGTTTCCAAAGTATCATTCACAATATTGTGCCTTGAATTCAGGTTTTGACATCCTGTATGTAAATAATGATATACACAGCTTCAGAAGTCTTCATTCTAGAAGTTTAATTGTTGGTGAAACCGATGTTAATATTGAGTGAATTTGAGATCTACTAAACTTTTAGAAATTCTTGTTGGCTGGAGTGTATTCTATTTTTAGTCTTGATGGTAGTTTCTTTTTCCAGTGCTGTCTTGAATTCTGTGTATGAATTAGTTGCAATATAGTTGACATATTTGTATCAATGTGTTCTTCTCATTAAAAATCACTGTCACTTCAGGATGCTATTCCTATGATCAGTAAACTGAGATACAATCCAAGATTTGACAAAGCTTTCAAGCATGTTTTTGGAAAGACTCTAATTTGTCGTAGCATGGAAGTGTCTACCCAGCTGGCCCGAGCTTTCACTATGGATTGTATTACTCTGGAAGGTAAATACTGCAGTTCTAGAAATTCTTTATTGTAAAAATGAGAACCTTGGAGCATGAGGCTCATTAAACATGGTCTGTTGGTGACATCAAGTAAGATTGCTTTAAGTAATATATTTGACTGAGATGTACAAGGTTGCCCTTGGTTAAGTACGGTGCTTCTTCACAAGCTGTTGAATTTTCTTATGATCTAAAAGTTAGTAGCTATGTATCTTCACCCTGAGAATTGTAAAGCAGATTAGGTTTGAATTCGTACAATTTTTTTAATCCAATTTAACAGGTGTTTGTTTTTCAGGAGTATTTATGGTGTTTTCCACAAATTTAAACCAGTGCTTAGGGTGTGAACCTGTGGCTTTAATTACTGATAAGTGCAAGGTGAATTCTTCTGTGTACCAGACACATTGACATGTTATGTTCTCTGAAATAATTTGTATCTCTTGTTAATTGCCTTGTTCTTGGAGGGCGGATAAGTAACAGCATACTCAAGTACAAGCCACAGATGCTGCTAGTTGCTCAGCCTCTCTTTTGTTTTCTCCTTCATGGAAGATCTCATACTGTAGTGCTAGGCATTTTTCCTGTAACAGAAGTAATTTTTCCTTCAAGCTTCATCGTTTCAGAAGTTAATTAAAAACAAAACAAAAAACTAGATAATGCTTAAAGGAGATCATAGCAGTCTGTGTTGATCTTGAGAAAGAAAATGCACTTTAAGTTGAATCTTGAAATAAACATTTCCATAATTATTGTGAACATGCATGTGTGATTCCCAGTACTGATGCAGCACTTCTGTACGTTAGTTGAAATATTCTAGATAATCTACTTTGTAGAAACTGCTCTCAACATTATGGAGAGTGTATAGTGTACAGTTTTTAGTGTCATTCTGTTATACATTTAGGTGATCAAGTAAGCCATCGTGGTGCTTTGACTGGAGGTTATTATGACACGAGGAAGTCTCGGCTTGAATTGCAAAAAGATGTTAGAAAGGCAGAAGAAGAACTTGGTGAACTTGAAGCAAAACTCAATGAAAACTTACGCAGAAACATTGAAAATATCCTTTCGGTGTTCTTGGGGAAAGGTTGTGTGATGACAAAGCTTTTGTTTTGTGGTTACAGTAGTAAATAGAAAACAGGAGACTAACATAATAGGTATTAGCTGGGGCACTTGTTTTGACTGTTGCTTGTGCAACTTGGTTCTAGATGTTGCAGTAGGGATTTTAGTAACAAATAAATAAATGCTAAAACAGAAACCAAAAACCCTGCATGTGAAAATTGCTGTACAACCAGTGGAAAATAACAGAGTTTAAAACATACCCATTGTTTATGTGCCTGAATTATGTTATTTTTTAAAAATCATTTTCAGATCAATGCAACTAATTAAGAAATAGTTTCTGTACCACTGCTGTTAATACTTTTGGTAAAATTTACATACCGTGGAAACTTCACTCAAAAATAGTAAATGAAGCATACCTTGTCAAATAGTTTGCTTCAGAGAGTGTGCAGCCCTGTAGGTTTCAGGAAAAAGGATCTTTAGTAATCTGTCTCTTTAAAATTTTATCTTGATCTTAAAGCTTAGAGATGGGGTTAAACCATAAACTTTGAGGCTTTCTATTCCTTTTAGAGGTTGTTGTAGTAACTACTAACACAGGTACACAAGAATATATTGGTTATAATCTTCACTGCCTCTTCTGACTCCTGTTATATTTTTAGTACTTGTGTCCTGAATTGTTGTGTTACGTAGTCCACTTATGCTGTGAGGAGGAGATGGGAGAGCCTTATATTATAAATAAGCTCTGAGTTGTTTGACAGTCTTGGTCTTTTCAGGCTCTTTATACGAAAAGTCAAGTAACTGTCACCTTTTTCTCTCATCATTAGTGCTACAGTGTCCTTTTGAGATCCAATATCTAGAATTCTGGGGCAAGGGGAGGTTTATACAATTTTCTTAATTATCCAGGTCATTCTGTCCTTTGAACTGAACTCCTTTGTTTTCCGACCTACAGCAGTGAATTAGAGACATTTTTGGGGCAGCAGATAAGCAGAACACTGAAGCCTATGCTTAGATCTGCAGATGATTAGGAAAACTTTTAAAAGTATGTACCTATGCCTTGTTAAGTCAGTGAAAGAATGTCGAAATGGTCTGTTAAATGTGACTTAGACTGAATTTGCCAACTGGCTTTACAGGCACCAGCAATAATGAATGTCTTTCACCTTCCTTATTGTTACCTATAAGCAATGTGCAGGACTTCATAAGTATCTAATTGTAGATACACAAATTAAGAGTGGCATTTTCTCCTTCCTTCTTTTTTAAGCTGCAAATATGTAGGCATATGGTTTAAAAGGATTTGTGCAGAAACTAATTTTAGCACTAATCCTAGTGTGCATTGTACAGGTGGCCTGCTTTTTGTAACTGGGAATGGGAGTTGAATTCCTGATGCTTGTAGTTAAATTCCCCAATTACCTGTTGGACCCTTTGGTTTCAGTGTAATTTTACTTTTAACCAGGACTACCATTTTGGAACTGAAACATCTTTCTTGCTATTATTTAAGTAAAATCTTTAGGCCTGGGTTTCTTTTTGCAGAGGGATCTCTAGGGGATGGAGGTAGAGGGTTCATCTGACTGATAGAAATCCCTATGTGGTATACCCTTCAGGTATGGTAGATCAGTGACTGTAATAAGTGATGTTACTGTAGTCTGACAGTAACTTTTAGAACAAACTGCAGACTTCAGTAGTTTTGAAAGTAAAATATATATTCCTGCTCACTTTCTGTTATGCAGCTCATTCATTCAGTTTTCCCAGAAGGTTTAAGTATATAGTGAAGTGTTCTACTGTAACCTCTGCTTCAGGGAATTAACTTAATTTTTAGGGCATTTAAGTTGATGTCATGTTAAAAAATTCCATAACATGATGTTAGCAATTTAGCATAAATTAAAACAATCCTCTGCAAGCTCTGTACCATGACTTAAGCCATTACATAAAAATTAGCATGAGCAAATTAGACTTTTTGCCTCAGAATTGAGTAAGGGATAATTGTATTGTTCTAATGTTTCTTTTCAAGTCTGCATCTGCTCTTCTATATTTTGTAGGATCTCAGTTTTCCTTACAAGTTCAAACATATCCTTGTTTTCCTGAGTGCCATGTTGTAAAATTAACAGCTCAATGAAGCTTTCCACATTTGTTCTTGGTGTTGATAGGGATCCTGTTTCTTCTCTAAAACTCAATCTTTTGGTTTTGTATGGGTGGGGTTTTTGTTAGTTTTTTGGGTGTCTGTGATTTTTTATATCAGCTGAATATGCCAAAGGGAATAAAAATTGACAGTACTAGTAGGTATAAAATGCCTTTTAAAACAAGGACAGCATTTTCCTTAGTCCACAGTATGGATTAATAATGAGATTGACCAGCTAATGAACCAGATGCAGCAAATTGAGACACAGCAGAGAAAGTTCAAAGCCTCTCGAGACAGTATTTTGTCAGAGATGAAAATGCTGAAGGAGAAGAGGCAGCAGTCTGAAAAGACATTTATGCCTAAGGTATGGTATGGGGATATTATAAGCTGGTACTGGTTTTATGTTAATTTTTTTTGTTAATATTACTGATAAGCTTGCATTCCTTTCTGGTTTAAATCATAATACAAAATATAAAAGGATGACTAGAGCTATGTCACAAAAATATGTTTATGTAAACAGAAAAGTGAAATTCATATAAATCGATAGATCACCCTGAGGAATGATTCTGTCTAATATCTGTTCCATAGCAACGCAGTTTGCAGAGCTTGGAGGCAAGTTTACATGCCATGGAGTCAACGAGAGAATCGTTAAAAGCTGAACTGGGGACGGATTTGTTGTCTCAGCTAAGTCTTGAAGATCAGAAACGTGTGGATGCTCTTAATGATGAGATTCGACAGCTACAGCAAGTAAGGATATGAAAATGTCTTGCCATTAAATGTGGTACCTCTTGTCCCAATAAACTTACTTTTGTCCTTTTGTATGAAAGTCACTTATGATGAATGTGGTGTAGTTAAAGTAGTGTTACAACAGTAGTAGGTAGGCATGTTGGGAGTTTTCTCATCTGCAATTGTATTTGCATGTTTGTCTCAAATGCTGGGTGAATTTTACTAGCTGTATTGTGTGAGAATTACAGCTGTTTGTGTTGGAATCTTCCGTTTCCTTGCTCCTTCTCTTGGACTTTACATCAATAAATACAAATGGATATCTGAAAGGAATGATGCACAGTGTGGGAAAATTAAACAATACCTTTAAACACATGGTAGATCAGACAAAAACCAAAATTTTGTCTGACGCTCATGTTGAGAAAATATTACTGCTTAAGTATGCTTTAAAGCTCTTCTGGGTTTAAGAATTGTATTCAAATGCTAATACAGTCTGAGAAACTTAATTATTTGAGTGGTAGACTTTTACATTAGACAGTTGCAAAAAATATTTCCTTTTTGGTTCTTTCTACCTGTTAGAATTAGAGCAACAATCCAAAGAATTCTTTGATATTTTAATACACAGAATTGTGTGAAGAATGGGGTTTTTGTTTGTCTTAATTTTTTTGAAAAGGAAAAAAATAGTTCTTTAAGAGTCAGTGAAGGCAATCAATACACTTTATTTTTTCAGGAAAACAGACAGCTTTTGAATGAGAGGATTAAACTAGAAGGCATTATCACAAGAGTTGAAACGTATCTCAATGAGAATCTGAGAAAACGCTTAGACCAAGTGGAACAAGTAAGGATTTTTTCTTAAATATACTTTTGTAATTGGTTTCTTGTTTATTCCCAGGGCTTTAGTGTATTAATCATTAGATAAATACTCGTTCATTACACTGTATTATCTGTGTTGGGTTTAGCTTCCCTGTATCCAAGCTAAGTGTTTTACTTAAATTTCAGCAGTTATTTTTGGCGTGTGAATTGTGACAGAAAAAATATAATTATTCTCTAAAATTTTATTAAAATATTTAATACAGTTAAATGTAGAGTAGCAGAAGATAACTTGTTTGTCTGGCTTATAGTTTTGTTCCACTCCATGCTGAAACTTGGTGTCATTTACTTTGTCCAATAGGAACTGAATGAGCTACGAGAAACAGAAGGTGGCACGGTCCTTACTGCCACAACGTCGGAACTGGAGGCTATCAACAAACGAGTGAAAGATACTCTGGCACGGTCAGATGGTTGGTAGTATCATTTTTTCAAAGAAAAATTTCCAGGGTTTTGAAAGTTCACACAAACCATATTTTGGTTTAGAAATATATTGTAATAGGAGAAGTAATCATTAATTTCAGATATGCTGTAGTAGTTACATAGTGTATAACAGATTTTTGGAGTTTACTCCAAAAGATAAGTGAAACAAGATTTTGTGCATGTTGTACGTAAATTAAAGTGTCTGCAATTGCACACTGTAATACCAGTAAGCATGTGCTGGTGATAACAGACTTCTGGCTTCAGGGCATAGTGCTTTTGAAGCAACCCTCATACAAGCACGATTTTACATAGTTCTTGAATTTTGTCTAACCTATCTAAAACTAAGTTGCTGTCAAATAGGAAATAGCATCTGTATGGCTCAAAACGTGTTTTTCATTTCCTTTCTAGACTTTAACAATATGACCTTGGTATGTTTGTTAGGATTTTAAGCCATATACTCATGAAGAAGAAGAGGGAGGGATTTTCAGCCTTTTTGGTCTTAAAATTAACTTTCTATTCCTTAATAGATCTTGTTCTTTAGATTATCTTTTTGTTTCGTAAATACTTGGCTGGATAATTGCTGATTTTATGCAGTTGAGAAACCTTACCACTTTGGTTTTTATGCTTTCCCCCAATATCAGATTTAGATAATTCTATTGACAAAACAGAAGCAGGAATTAAAGACCTTCAGAAGAGCATGGAACGCTGGAAGAGCATGGAAAAGGAGCATATGGATGCCATTAACCATGACACAAAAGAACTTGAAAAAATGACTAACAGGCAAGGCATGCTCCTCAAGAAGAAAGAGGAATGCATGAAGAAAATCCGAGAGTTGGGTTCACTTCCACAGGAGGCTTTTGAAAAGTATCAGACTTTAACTTTAAAGCAGGTAATAAATGTCCTTGGTTTCATGTTTCATGACCAGAAATATTAACGTCACATACATCTTGAGTGTCAAATGTGGCTAGAATTGCAAATCACTTTGATACGTTAATGTTTACCATTTACAGTTATTCCGCAAACTGGAGCAGTGCAACACGGAACTGAAGAAATACAGTCACGTTAATAAAAAAGCTTTAGATCAGTTTGTGAATTTCTCAGAGCAGAAGGAAAAATTGATAAAAAGACAAGAGGAACTGGACAGAGGCTACAAATCCATCATGGAACTGATGAACGTCCTTGAGCTCAGGAAATATGAGGCTATTCAGCTGACTTTCAAACAGGTAAGCAAATGGCAACAATTGTAAAGACACTGATGCTGAAATTAAATTGTGCCATTATGTAGCAACTGTAGGGGAAAAAGCAATATTAAGTACATCTATAATAATATAAGACAGTCTCATGTAATGAGGTTTGTGGGGTTTTTCAATACTGAAAAAGAAATAGGCTAGCATTTTAAGTAGGTTGCATTATAACTCTATCTTTGCCTTAAGCCTCTTAAATACATTCTTTCTGGTAAATCTTTGTACTACATACAACCCTCTCTGGGGAATGTCTGGTAATAAACTGCACCAAATCCATTCTACAGATTTAGTGAAAGTAATTCCTAACGTTAAGAAAGGATCTTAACTGAAATATGTGAAGATCACTTGCTTAACTGAGAGCTCATTTGCAGTTTACTGAAATAATTCTAACGTTTTCTTGAAAAAAATGGTGAAAGTTCTACTACAAGAACAGTTGGTGTAGCTGTTTTAAACCAAGCTCTGTATCGCGTATGTTTCTCACTTCTGCTTGTGCTTAAGAATGAATGTGGATCTCAGCTTTGAAGCAGATACTTGGTGTGATAGTGTAGAAACAGCTGTTGTCTGCAGTTGATTTCATTATGTAAAAATAAGCTAGTGTATTGACTGTTTCTTTTTAGGTGTCAAAAAACTTCAGTGAAGTATTCCAGAAGTTAGTCCCTGGTGGCAAGGCCACATTAGTGATGAAGAAAGGAGATGTGGAGGGCAGTCAGTCCCAGGATGAAGGTGAAGGCAGCACTGAGAGCGACAAAGGCTCTGGATCTCAGAGCAGTGTTCCATCAGTAGACCAGTTCACTGGAGTTGGCATAAGGGTAAAAAAAATATTTGTGTTTCAGTACTCAGAATATTCATTTAGATTGCCTTATAACTGTATTTTTAAAAGGCAAAATTAAGTTGGTCATGTGTATTTACTATAATAGCAAATGGTGTTGTGGCTTAATATTTTAAAATCATCTTGCTGTTGCATTATTTTCTTAGGTTTCGTTCACAGGGAAGCAGGGTGAAATGAGAGAAATGCAGCAACTTTCAGGTGGACAGAAATCCTTAGTGGCCCTAGCCCTGATATTTGCTATCCAGAAATGTGATCCAGCTCCATTTTACTTGTTTGATGAAATTGACCAAGCCTTGGATGCTCAGCACAGAAAAGCTGTTTCAGGTAACTGTCTACCTTTGTTCTTCTTCATTGTGGTTGAAGGTGATAGTCTGTCTTCTCCTCCCTGATGTTTAAGATAAAAGCTCTTAATCATAAAGCCACATTTTTTGAATATCCCAACATGTGTGTTAGAATTTAACTTTGTGCCTTCTGAAGCTTTCGTGCACTTGGTTTTAGGAAGCTCTGTGTTGTCCACTGTGTATAAAGGGTCTCCTTATCACACTTCAGTGTGGTGGAAATAGTCCTCTTTTGAAGTGTAGTTTGATTTTTAAAATGAACTTCTAGCTCATTGCATTGTTGGAAAAGTGCTTACTTTGGTTTTCATCGTAGAGGTCTAATAAATACCCCATTGATTTTGCTGAGTGGCTGGGTTTGTCAGAGTTGTTACTGGCATTATTGATAATACTTAAAAACGTGGTATAGATCCTTTCTTAATTTGTTTGGGTTTTTTTTGGGGGGGAGGTGTGTTGTTTTGGTTTGGGTGTTTTTTTTTGTTTTGGTTTGGTTTGGTTTTTTTTTTTAATTAACCAAAACCTTATTTTTAATAAGGAAGAGCAGCTTTTTGTCTGTCTCATATTAAGACCTATCCTGCTTTAGTGAAAAGAGTACATTAATAAAGAATTTTTGTGTTCTTTTTTAGATATGATTATGGAACTAGCAGAACATGCTCAGTTTATTACAACAACTTTTAGGCCTGAACTGCTTGAGTCAGCTGACAAGTTCTATGGTGTAAAATTCAGAAACAAGGTAAATAATGTTTTAGTCATGGCATTTACTGAGAACCTGATCAAGTTGTGCATTTGAGGTTTGACTTAACAAGAGCTCAGAGTGAGTAAGTGTTATTTCAATGATGGATTTCTAGTTACATCGCAGTCTTCTGTAAAAGTTCTCCATCCTGAAAAAGAACTATCCACAGATGTCACTTGTCATGTTCTTTAAAGGAAATTAGAAATTGTTTATCGTCCTGTTGCTGACTCCTGAAGCCTTCAGAAATAAGTCTGTCTTATTCTGCAGGAGATACTGCAATAACTGTATGCTTGTTTTTCTTCCACCAGGTTAGTCATATTGATGTGATCACAGCAGAAATGGCCAAAGACTTTGTAGAAGATGACACCACGCATGGTTAAAAGAAATTATACTTGCTGCTTGTTTCGAAGATGTGTATAGTGTTATGTTTATGCCAGGGACTTGTAAATTCAAAATATGAAGTATTTAGTCCTTGTTTAAAATAGTTTTTGAACATACATTTTAACCAAGACCCCAAAAGGCTTAGTTTGAAAGGAGCTTGAGCATCCCTTTTGTCTCTGTTGCTGTATTTTATAAGATAATTGTTAATGTACCCTTTATACAGTACCTGTAGTTTAAAACTTTTGTTCTCTTCCTTCAAATCTTTTGTAAAATGTCTATTGCTGTTTTAAAGCTTTTCAGAAAGTGCTAGCTATTCCTTAAGTATAATTTTGTCATTTATATTGCCTCACATGTTTTTTTTTTAATGGCTTCGATTAAAATGGTTGCTTTTATCGCTGTGACTTGTATACATTAAGTTTTTGGTTTACATTGTCTGTCTTCAGAGGATTCCACTGAGATGGAGTAAATACCATTTGGTCATATTGGAGCTGTCTATTTCAGAAGTATGAGACAAAGCCATTCTTACAATGTATTCCTACTTTGCTTTTTCCCCTTCCTTGCACATTGCCACTGCCAGCAGAAAACCACCCCAAATGTGTTCTTGTCCAAATTCATAGTCTTCTGGTTATTGAACTGAAGGAACTCTTAACTATCAGAAGATACTGAGAAGGTTGAAAAGACCCTAGAACTGTATCAAGACAAATCACAGCCCCCTCTTTTTTCTGGCACCCTGGCCAGTGTAACAATTCCATCGTATCCCTTCAGCCTGAAGGACCAGTGTAACTTGAACCACGTGACAGTCACCAGTCAAAATGCAAGTCTCTTCCTGCTCTCTAGGGTTTTGGCAAAGTGGTATTGAATACTTTGTTGTGTTATTATGGTACATGTAAGGTTTTACCCTGAACCATATATTTCTAGGATAGCTAAGCAGTTCTAAACACAAAATCAGTTCCTGTTGCATTAGTATATATAAAAAAAATAAAATAACATTAAACAGTATCTTATATAAATTTAAATAGTACAGTGAGAAACGGTGGGCTTGTATACTGCCTTTACTCTGTAGGGCACTTTCAACGAAGCAGAAGAGTAAAGCTGTCTGGTAGGTTTTCATCTGCAAGCACGCTTGCTCCCTTCTGAGAACTTCAGGAAGCACAGGAAAAGGAGAGCATGAACTGATGGCAGGTCTCCTGAGCTGAGGAATGCATATACTTGCACTGCAAGGCAGGGTAAGAGAAGAATAACTGCCCCAGGGAATGATAATCATGTACGAAATTACTACCTGCTGTTAAGTCTTAAGACAGAAGGAAGAGGATGTTGTACCTGACATAACAAAGTTTCTCATAGTTCCTAGGGAGATGGTACCTACAACAGTAGATTTCTCTCAGTGAAGAGAGGGTGGGGTACAAAGTGTGAAACAAACTGTTGAAGCCAAATAACTCCAATGCCCACAAAATTTTTAGCATATAAGCATAGACTTATTTGAGAACCCTGAAGAATTTGAAATTTATCCTCTGCAAACAGCTCTGAATATGTATTTAGGGTGGCCACAGAGCAGAGCATTCCTAAATTACAGGTGAAACAAGCGAGTTCAAAGTCCAGAGAAGGACCTAAAGAACCTAGCCACAGACTTACACCTAAAGTTACTGATTTAAAGCCATTTGATCCAGCGCATCTAAGGACACACTTGAAGTGTCTGTAGTCTGTGACCATCAGATACAGAACTTGCCTGTGGTAATAGCAGGCTGCATTCTCAGCTAACTCATGAGGCATGCTCCTGCTAGGGCATCAGCTTGACAGCTGTTAGTTTGAATTTTGGAAGATATTAGCTTCATGGCATGTGAACTGTTTATTAGGGTGTTTATTAAGAACTGTCATACTAAATCCATCTAAGACTGATCATGTGTGTTATCAAATAGTGTCATTGAAGTGGAAGTAGATTAGTAGAGCAGCATATTTTTGTGTACAGTGCTCAGCAAAATAGAGTCTAAATGCAGCTGAATAACTTGAGTCATTTCAGCTGTGTTAGGATTTTTTCTCTGGGTTGAGTCTAGCATTAAGTTCGTTATCAGGCACAGTAGGAAAATGGGTGACTCTAGCAAGCTGGTGGAAACAACTGAATACTGTGGTGATACTATGCAGGGTGAGAGTAGTCAAGCCTTTAGCTACCACTTCAATTTCTTGTCTGCTGAAGACCAAGGTTTAGAACTACTTGTACAAAACTTCTGGGGATTTATCAAGACTTTCAGAATCTTTTTTCAAGGTAAGTTTAGGGGGTGGTGCTGTTTGTTTAAACGACTACTGAACTTTATTCTGTCCTTTAAATTGGCATTTCTAGAGAGAGTACTTTTTAAGTTGACACCTCGTTGTCCTGTGAGCATACTGCTTCCCCCATGCTTGTTCTCAAGGCTGTGATGCCTCTGCTGTGCAGTCACGTACTGCAAGAGTTCACTAAGTGTGTTACCAGTAATACTGGCATGTATGGGACTGGAATGGGAAAGGCTGGAATAACTTGTACAGCACCTCCTCCAGACGTCAAAGCACAGCCTTTGTGTGGTGCTGCAGGTGCCCTAGAGTGAGGTCGGATTGCTAAATTAGAAACTCTAGTTAGAACTGAAGAGACCCTCGAAACAGGGACGGAATAAGGCAGGTTATTTTGCAAAATCCATACCAGCTCACTGTATTGGAAAATAAATTGCATGAGAGAGAACTGCATGGAAGTAGCAAAATCATAACCTCACCCCTTGTGGTATGTTTTAAGGAAGGTCCTTGCACAAAGGAGGAAGAATTGTCTTTAAAAATGCCAGTTCGTACAACCTTAAGGAAGATTTTGGTTTTCCCGATCTGGTTTTGGACATGGTTAATAAGGTCAGGAGGGTCAGAAGGGTTTTCTTTGCTGTCTGCCCCCAATGATTTGCTTCATATTGCTGCACAGATCTGAAGATGTGACACAGCCTTTGCAAAATGCAGTGATTGGAGCGATGCGTTTCCAAGGTGCGTGTTTGTTGTGTTCTGTTTGTGATGGTTTGTCTATGGTCCACTCAACATGGTAGTTTACAGGTTGTCTTTTCTGTCTGCCAGTGCTTTAAATTCTTCCCAGTCTCTTAAAAATGAGCTTTGTTGAGAGTTACTCTGTCCTCGAGTTTCTTCAAATGTCCTGTTTTTTCCACCTGGAAGTTTAAGGCAGAATTCAGTGAAATTATACACTTGCTGTGAACTTTAGGACATCCCAGAAATTACAGAAATCCTGGATGCCCCACGGTGCACATGCTCTTTATGCCCAGGGAGCCTGGATCCGCATAGTGACTCTGGTGGATGCTTCTTAGAAACGTGGCAACACGGGCCAGTGGTTGTGTTACGGGTCCGTGTCAGGAGTGCACCTTCTAGTGCCCATGTGTACTGGGAAAAATCTCTGGTGTTATGATCCAGAAACATGAAACTCGAGAATGTTACCATTTTATTTTTTCTGGTCATACTTGTCCTTCCAATAAAACACAACTGTTGTTTTCAGGATGTCCAACAGGGGCTGTGTTTCCTACTGCAAGCTTGAAAGTAACCTGGGAAATACCAATGTAATTTAACTGCTGAATGGCTCCAGGATAGGTGTTCAACTGCTCGTTTTCTTAATTACTGACATGTGAAATTTATCAGCTGAATCACTCATAATTTTTTATATCTTAAGATAGTTTTAATCTCTGGCAAACATTCTTCAAATACTTGGTAAGATTAACACCTTTATGTTTCACATTTTTAATCTTATGTAAATGTTACAAGATGTAGTTTGTAACTTTAGGCAGCAGATGGAGCCAAACTGGACTAAATGCAAAAATGACATTTGCTTTATTGTTGAAATTAAAGGTAAAATTAAAGCTTTTTTGTGAGGTTTTCAGAATTCCAGAGATTATTATAGCAGTCATGAGGATCCTGAAAAAAAGAGAAATGCAAATTATAAATAGTTTTACATGGACAAGAATGTAAATAAATGGGAATAAATCACACTTTTTGCTTAAAAATTTAGAAAAGCCTTTAAAATTTTAATAATTTTCTAAAATATTCTTACTGAGTAGAACTGTACCTTTCCAGAAAAAAGGTATGCATGAATTTATATAACAGTAAACATTGTACAGGTTAAAAAAAAAGTGTGAAAAATTTTTACAAAAGTATAAGAATCTGGTTCCTCTCTGAGAAGTTACTAATGATTCTTTCTAGTGAATAAAGTCATCGTTCTCTTGTTGCAGCTGAACCAGTGAGCGAGGGAGGTAATGATTCCCAAGGCAGGGATGAACAGAGGGGACAAGGTGCTTCCATTAAAATTTGTCCCTCAAACTGGAGGTATGGAGTGAGTTACCCTGACTGCTGAAGTTGGCAGCTACTGGGATCCTCTTGGCTACTCCCATCTGAGTGTATTTATCCTTAGGCACACAGGAACACTTTTGAAGAACAGCTGCTCTGCTTTCGGAGCACCAGGTTCTAGTAGATATCAGCTCTTCACCTAGGGGGGAAAGGCATGGTTTTATTGACACTTAGTGGAGCCCTGCTGATTTTACAACTGAGAGTCTTCAGATATTGTTTCAAAATATTTTCCTAGGGAAAGGTAACCTTAGACCCTGGAAGGTCTTTATTTCCAGCATCTGCTTTCATTCCTCATTAGACACAATGGATGCTTTTTATTATCTCCCTACTAGTCAATAAAAGCATTCCCAGTAACAAAATCTAAATCTTTTCTCATGTTAATTTAAGTTCATTTCATTAGCAATGCTGTCTTATTTTTCAAAGAGGGTTATAAAAGAGTGGATTTGGTTTTATCGAAAAGCAAATACATAAATCATCCTTTTAGTGCAATTATAAAGCATATTTGGGGATTATTTTAATTGAATGCATTTTTCACCTCAGTCCTGGCATGATGTCTGTCTTCTCCCTCTTACAGTCAGCTGAAGTATAGAGAGAAGACAGTTGGGCTGAGATCTTAATTTCTGATTATTCTGCCATGTTCTTTTAGTGTCGTTTTTACTCTTTCCTTCTGTTTGTCTTTTGTTTGCTACCTTTGACTGTAACCATGATGGGGCATGTCTTGTTTTTGTTAACCTTGATTGCCTCAAGGTCAGCATTTTAATTTTAGTTTTCTGGCTATGTATTTTGTCTTAGACAAATGTTTCTTATATAATGCTGCAACAATGGTGGACAAAAATAATTGTTCAGTAGTCCTTGGATTCCTTTGTTGCTGCAGTTTGAGCTAAGTGTTAACGGTGTTCAAAGAGGATGCATTTAGCGTAATAATTTTTGTAACAACACTGAACCCAGCATCAGTTTTCAGTGCTACTGAATCAGCAGCTGCTTCATGTTGCACTTCACTTCTAGGAGAATGTCATTATTCTTCCAAAATCCCTCTGAATTTCTATTTG